AGCAACACCAAAACGATGATGAGAAAATAAGTAGCTTCTCTAGCAGTTGTTTTACTCATTTTAAGAGTAGAAAATGACAATTGGAGAGACCTTTGTTTCGTGTGTTGGCGAAAAATGAACAAACTCACTAGTTTTAATTGTTTAAAATTTTTCTTTTTGTACTACACAGAGTATGCGCTTATTTCAAACGGAAATCACTCATATCACACTCTGACCCATAAATTCAAAAGTATATGAAATGGAGATACATGTGATCGTCTTACAAATAGATCATTGATAACTACTTATCCCTCTGAAACAAAATGGAGGCTATACATGCAAAAAGGGAGAAGGTTAGGTGGGATGGTTAACCCACGCTACTTTTCCAAACCCGTTTTTATCGGGTACAAGATGAAGTATTCTCTCTTTCCCCTGAAATAGCAGCACCAACACGATGACGGGGAAACACATCAGCTTCTCTAGCTGTTTTAATTTTCAGCCGTTTCAACAGCTATATCGCGAGATAAACAAGAAAGAGGTAACTATACATATTGTCAGTCTGTGGTTCACTCTCCTTTACTGTGAGGCAACATGAATAGTTGTCTTACCCGCTGCTAAATAATATGTCCTTTTCCTCCAAGTGCACGATCGATACTTTAATTGTGATAAAAGCAAAGTATTACTTACCTAAAATCTCTCCTAAAAGAAATAGTTAAACTGCCATAGCGATTGTCTACAGTGTGTTAAACTATTTAAAATTCCTATGCGATTAGCACACACTGAAAAGATTGGAGGGCTGATAAGTGGGGGGAGGTGTCTAACGTGAAATTCACTATTTTACTTAATGTATATTTGCCGTGTACAGAAAGGACGAGGTACATAAAACCTGGTAGTAGCATGATATTGTTCTTTGAACTGCTACACACTGGGGAAGCAGGCTCGAGAAAATAACATTTGGGTCATAAGTGCGATAAATTTATGTTTCGCCAGCCTGAGAAATATACTAAAATAATTCTCATAATCTCTAAATTCATAGACAGGTAAAAACGAACGATATAATATCCCGACGTTTCGGCGACTTCATGACGCCATTATCAAGGGTACGAATGAAAATAAAATTAACAAATGCGAGTTCAAGAGTTACAACTAATTTGCATAGGGGAGGTAGCAACACAAATACTTTAGCACGGATAGAATCCGTTTGCACGTTCAAACTTGGTGTTAATTGTTTGATGTAAAGCATCTCGTTGACAAGAAAATCGGTTTTATTACTAAATCTTTGTTAATACGAATTCTAAAATGCGATGATCAGCTTCACCTGTTTAGAAGACTCGAACGGTGTTGCACAAAACAAATTAACTGCGATTGTTCAATTGAGTTTCTTAGACTCTGCCAAATTTTCAATCTCACTCCAACGTTCGCTCAAGTTGACAAGGACAAAAAGTCAAAGTCGAAAGAGTCCTCGGAGACCTACAGCAAAAATGTTCTTGCCGAAGAGCTCAAAGCCAAGATCAAACAGAGCGAAGCTCTCAAATGCGAGATCAATTCCATTTACGATGACATACGTAGAAATTGTGGTTTACTTCGTTACACCTGCATTCTTCGCATCATTGTCAACCTCAGAAAGAAGTGCTATCAAGATGTGATGTCTGTGCACACTCGAAAGATCTCGA